ACACTTACTTTACCTAATAATGGCTCCAAAACAATTTAAATAACTTCTATTGCAGTACCTTGTTATAATTGTTCTATTTTATTATTAGTTATTGTTGTTAATCTGTTACTGTGCCTAATTTATAAATTAAACTTTATCATAGGTATGACTATATAGGAAAAAACATAGTATACATAGGGTTTGGTACTATCCTCGGTTTCAGGAATCCACTGGGGGTCTTCAAATGTGTCTGCTGAGGATAAAGGAGGACTGCTATAGATTAAAAGTAAAGGGATGGAGAAAGATATACCATACTAAGACTAATTAAAATTAAGCTGGAGTAGCTATATTAATTTAAACAGAGCTAACATCATAGCAAGGAAAATTATAATGATAATGGGCTAAATTCTCCAAGAAGCCATAGCAGTCCTTAATATGTATATATCTAAAAACAGAGCATCAAAATATGTAAGGCTAAACTGATGAAACTACAAGGAGAGATAAATGGATTCACTATTATAGTTGGAGACTTCAACACCCTGCTATCACACATGGGCTGATCTAGCAGGCAGAAAATCACTCAAGACATAGTTGAACTAAACAGCACTATCAATCAACTGGATATAATTGACATCTATGGACTACTTTATTCAAACACTACAAAAGACACATTCTTCTTAAGCTCACATGGACTAGTCACCAAGACAGACCACATGCTGGGCCTTAAAACACACCTTAACAAATTTAAAAGAATAGAAATCAAACAATGCCTGTTAAAATTTATGACAGAGACCTTAACCTGGACAGAAATCAGGAAGGCCTGTGGAAGGAGCTTTCATACTCCATGTCATTGAGAGAGCGCTACAGGAAGAAATTTATGTTTACAACATAGCTTAATGGTTGTAATAACACCTTCTCTTCTCTTCACTTCCTCTTCCACTTTATAAAGTACTTCCTTTATCTTTCTCCAGTTTAGTTTGTACATGTGGCTGACCATATCTGCACTGGATTGAAATCCTTTCTTTTTCTTGAATAAATCCTTTTGGTGATGGAATACCTAGTTAATTTTGTTTTATGGTCAACAATGTCCTCAAACCACAGTGGAATTGAACAAGAAATCACCAGAAGGATAGCTGGAAAATACTTGGAGATTAAGCAACACGCTTCTAAATAACACATGGGTCAAAGAAGAAATCTCAAGACAAATCAAAAGATAATTTGAACTAAATGAAAATGACAACACAACTTAAAATTTGTGGGATGCAGTAAAAACAGTGCTTAGAGGGAAATGTATAGCATTGACTGATTAGAAAAGAAGAAAGATTTAAAATCAGTCATCTAGTCCAGCCACACATCCCAGCCCCGTGCGCAGGGAGCCCGGGCTGCTATTGTGTGGATGCCGCGGTGTCCTCTCTTCTCTTGCAGAGATGGCTAACAGGGGTCCGAGCTACGGCTTAAGCCGAGAGGTGCAGGAGAAGATCGAGCAGAAGTATGACGCCGACCTGGAGAACAAGCTGGTGGACTGGATCATCCTGCAGTGTGCCGAGGACATTGAACACCCGCCCCCGGGCAGGGCCCATTTTCAGCAGTGGTTAATGGACGGGACGGTCCTATGCAAGCTAATAAACAGTTTATACCCACCCGGACAAGAACCCGTTGCCAAGATCTCAGAGTCCAAGATGGCTTTTAAGCAGATGGAGCAAATCTCCCAGTTCCTAAAAGCTGCGGAGATCTATGGCGTCAGGACCACCGATATTTTTCAGACAGTGGATTTATGGGAAGGGAAGGACATGGCATCTGTGCAGAGGACTCTGATGGCTCTTGGTAGTGTTGCAGTCACCAAGGATGATGGCTGCTACCGGGGAGAGCCATCCTGGTTTCACAGGAAAGCCCAGCAGAATCGGAGAGGATTTTCAGAGGAGCAGCTTCGCCAGGGACAGAACGTAATTGGCCTGCAGATGGGCAGCAACAAGGGCGCCTCCCAGGCGGGCATGACCGGGTACGGGATGCCCAGGCAGATTATGTAAGACGCCGCATCCTGCCTCTAGTAGAGAGGACGAACGTTCCACACCATGGTCTCTATGATGAAATAGTTAGTCACCTTCTGACCTTCTCTTTCTCGAAGCCTCCTGTCCCTGGTTCTTGCAAGTGCTGCATTTCTGCTGAGAATCCGCGTTGCCTACTGCTGCCACCTTCTGTTCATTTAGAACTATGCAAAGACTCCGCTTCCTCTTCCTCAGCTCGTTCTTTGCCCTCAAGTCTCAGTTTGTCTGATTATTTATTTATTTATTGGCCAAAAATATCCCTCCTCAACTTATAGAGCGCAGCGAATAAACAAATTAGTCTTGTGTCTTAAAAAAAAATCAGTCATCTAAGTTCTTACCTTAGGAAACTAGAAAATGAAGAGCAAATTAAATCCAAAGTAAGCAGAAGAAAATAAATAAAAAAAATTAGAGCAGAAAGCAATGAAATTGAGAACAAAAAATCAATAGAGAAAATCAATGAAACCAAAAGCTGGTTCTTTGAAAAAATAAGTAAAATCAATAAACCTCAATCCAGGCTAAGAAAAAAAGAAGGAAGACACAATTATTAGAAATGAAAGAGGGGACATCACTACAGATCCCATGGACTTTAAAAAAAGATAATAAAGGGATACTATGAACAAGTCTATGCCATGAGTTTGATAGTTTAAGTAAAAGGGACTAATTCCTTGAAAGACACAATCTGCCAAAACTAGCACAAAAAGAAATAGACGAACTGAATAGGCCTATAACTAATAAAGAAATTCAGTCAATAGTTAATAACTTTACAAAACAGAAAGCATCAGGCCCAGATGTGTTCACTGGTAAATTCTAAAAAGCATTTAAGAATTGTACCAATTTTGCGGGCCGGCCCAGTGGTACGTTGGTTAGAACTGGCTTGGGACCCCAGAGGGCCCCGGTTCGGATCCCATATGAGGGCCAGTGACACTGCCCTCTACAGCTAAGATGCTGAACAACAGCTCAACCTGGAGCTGGGCTGCCCTGAGTCGCCGTAGGCTGCAGCCCCTGTGGCAGTGGGTTGCCATGGGCTGCTGTGTGTGGCTGGCAGCCAGCGTGAGCGGCCAGCAGCCGCAGTGAGCGGCCGTCCAGAAGCCGGCGACTGATCTGCCTCGCCCGGGAAGAGCGCAATGATGGTGCCAACTTGGGCCAGTGAAGCAACATCCTCCACAACTAGGCTGAAGAACAAAATGACAGCAACTTGTCTGTTCCCCTTCCCCCAATTCCCCAGCACTGTTCCCATCCCCCCAATTCCCCAATTTAAAAAAAAAAAGAATTGTACCAATTTTCTACAACAACTTCCAGGAAATAGAAGCAGAGAGAAAACTTTTTGTTGTCAAATGATCTTTAATTGAAATATTTTTCTTTGTAGTTCTTAACTAGCTGGGCATCCCACTGCACCACTGTTGATGTCATCTATGATGTCATGAGGTTGGTGGCCATCAACACTGCAGACCACAGACTGGGCAGTCCCCAAGATCTCTTTAATGGTTCAGAGAGTTCTCGAGATAAAGACCAGTGCCACATCTGTTGGGCAATGTTGACAATATCATCAAAAGTTATATTTCCACTGTTCTTAATGTTTTTGCTGCTTTCTGTCTCTTGATGGCTCTTTAGGTGCTTTGATGATCAGGTCAGAGGCAGAAGGTACTACCTTAATCTGGGCCTGTCTGCTCTGCATGGTCAGTTTCACTGTGATCCTCAGGCCTTTCCAATCATCAGTTGCTTTGGCAATGTCATCATCAACCCTTTTTGGAGACAGACCCAGGGGGCCAATATTGGGGGCCAGGGCAGATGTGGCACCTCAGGTACATGACTTTGATCTTGTTGGGGTTGAACTTCAGGGGCATGGAGTTGGCTGGTGTTGCATGAACCCAGATTCAGGAGGACAGAAAAAAGTCACACCTTGGCCTCCTCTGAGCCAAAGCCGAAAAGAGGGAAAAATTAACTCATGCTATGAGGCCAGTGTTGTCCTTGTACCAAACCAGATGAAGACATTGCAAGAAAACCACAAACTATTTCTCATGAACATAAATACAAAAATCCTCAATGAAACAGTAGCAAATCTAATCCAACAAAATTTCTTTCCAAAGGTCATTAATACTATTCGTTTCAGATGAAAGATTAGAGAATTGAGATTAAATACATAACCCATTTATCTTTTTATATATTTCCTGGGTGCTCCAATAGCACTATAATCCTATTTGTCCAGAGATGATCATGTTGAATTACATTTATAGTTAATACCATGTGAGTTAATCCATTCAACCTGGGATGAACCAGGTTCAATCCTGGGCACAGACCATATAGTGCCTAACATTATAATAGATGTTTACTATGTTTGATGGGTGATTGACATGAGATTTGTTCAGACAATTTGAGCATTGTACTCAAAGCAGGGCACTCCCAGCTTGACTGCCTGGAATATGTCCACTCACAGAGCCAGGCTGCAATGACTGGGAGTGCTTCAGGCATTTATTCAGTTTATTTCATTAGCTCTAAAACTACGCCAAACATTCAAGTTAAGTGTTGTGTAAAGCCTTGAAGTTGCATCTCTCAGGTCAGAGATTTTTTAAACTGTGGGTCATCAAATTGGATTACGATCAACATTTTAAAGACTAATATAGGTTTAAATATATCAAAATGCTACTCACATAGCAATGGTAAATGCTGTTTTGTCAACTTTTTGTTTCAAACGTTTTATGTATGTATTAGGTCACGTTGTAAAAGTGACCAATGTTTGAGAGTCATGGTTAAAAACGTTTCCGGGGCACTGAGAAGTGGAGTACCAAGCTTGGGAGTTTAGTAGGGCAAAGGACAAAAAGTTCCAGAGAAGTCCCAAGCTTAAAAAGGAACAGGCGTCGGCGCATTGCCTTGTTCTGGGAGAGCGCGCATCGTAAAGAGAGAGGATTGGTCAAGCCGCGAAGCCCCCTCCCACAATGTCTCGTCCGCCAATGGATGTGAGGCCTCGGAGGGGCGGGGCGAGCCTCGAGCGGTCTCCTTAAGTAGCGGCTGCGTGGATGTTCTTGTATACTAACCCTACGACGGCACGGCCGGGTGGTGCAGAGCCGGACCGAACGACGTCGGACGCGCCGGATCTTCTTGACGGAACCATGTCAAGGCAAGAGGCAGGCGCCAACGCCTCCTCCTGGGTCGTTTCTTCCCGGCGAAGCTCGGCAGCGCCCCAGGCTCCGGCAAGGAGGCCGGCGGAGGAGCCTAATCGAAGAGGTCGGGGAGGCCGTGGGGGCAGCAGAGGTGGCGGCTGGAGGGGCCCCTCCGGCTTCCAGCAGCCCGTGGCCGATGATCCCCAGGAACCGCCGCTCTGCTTTGGATTGAAGCAAGATTGGGTTGGCACGGTGATTGGTGAGAGCCAGAGGAGGGTGTGCTGGGCAGGGCCCGGAGAGATGAATGGGTGGGGCCAGGGGCGGAGCCTGAGTAAGGACATCCCGCCTCATTTTCTTTCCTCCAGTCAGCTGCTCCCTTGTGAGGCTCAGGCCTCTCCCGGTGATATACTATTGTAATACTCTCTGGTACTAGAATGGTGTCACTTAATGCACCTTTTGATATTTATAGAGACGATATTTTGGGAGAGCAAATTCTTAGAAGACTTTGGAAATCTTTGGGCTGAAAGATCAGCCTTTGACAGCTTACCCCCAAATGAACAAAGCGGTGCTAAAATCAGTCTGAACACTGTATAGAGAGAGCCATTAACCAAAGATAAGAAAGTGGAAGATGTTTTATTGTTGTAGGGCTGCTCAGAGCATTATCCATGTCTTGTATTTAGTTTCACTTAAATGTGATTTATCTCCTGAAAAACAGGATTTTTTTTTGTTATCTTGAGTCTTAAAAATATATTTTTGAAAAGCATTTAGAAATGATTAGATTTGTCCCATTTATTGCCATTAAGTCTGAGGATAAATTCCAACATTTTGCCCATTAGGCATGGGAGCTAATATTTTACCCCTTTTTAACTTGTTTTGAAAAAATGAACAGATTTTGTAGGCTGCTTTTTTTTTTTTAACTTTTATACGTCTTTGTTTGAGCCCAACTGACAACATATGCTAGGGAACAGGATGTCAAATGCTCCAAAGAATAACAACTTTGCAACTTATATAGGCAGCTATTAAATAGAGGACTACAAGACTTAGTGTTAGAACAGCCAGAGATTAATTGACCCCTTAAGGTGGCTCTGTCTCAAAGATCTGAAGAGTGATGCTCCTTAAATGAAAGCCACTAGGTTTGCAATAACAATCATTTAGGCTCTCAACACTTATTGAGCACCTGTGAAGCAGAAGCACTCTGCTAGAGAGCACTCACTTAAAAGGGTGTCCTGAAGCAGAAGTCATTTGATGTTGGTTCTGGATCCAGTTTTTTAAAATTGTGATAAATCCAACTTTAATTTACACATAATTTTATGTGTACAGTGTACCATACAGTATTGTTAATTGTAAGAGTAATATTGTATAGTAGATGTCTAGGACATTTTCATCTTGCATGACTGAACCTACCCATTGAATATTTCTTCCATCCCCTATCCCCGGTAACCACCATTTTGCTTTGTTTCTCTAAGTACGATTACGTTAGATACCCCATAGAAGTAGAATCATGCTTTACTTTTTTCATGATTGCCTTATTTCACTTAGCATAATGTCCTTAAGGTTCATCCATGTTATCACAAATGGCAAGATTTCTTTTTTTTTTAAAGATTTTATTGGGGAATTGGAGGGGAACAGCATTGGGGAATCAGGGAAGGGGAACAGACAAGTTGCTGCCCTTTTGTTCTTCTGTCTAGTTGTGGAGGACGTCGCTTTACTGGCCCATGTTGGTATCATTGTGCTCTTCCCCAGGTGAGGCAGTCACTCGCCGGCCATTGGATGGCCACTCATGGCGGCTCACAGCAGCTTACACCAGCTGCTGGCTGCTCTCGCTGGCTGCCAGCCACTCACGGTAGCTCATGGCAGCCCACTGCAGCAGGGGCTGCAGCCTACCCCGTCACTGGCGACTCCTGCAGCCCAGCTCCAGATTGAGCTGTTGTTCACCATTTTAGCTGTAGAGGGAGCAGCGTCACTGGCCTAATGTGGGATCTGAACTGGGGCCCTGCTGCTCAGAGCTGGCATCCCAAGCCAACCAACTCTTAACCAACGCGCCACTCTGCCAGCCCTCTTTTCTTTTTCTTTTACTTTTTTTTTTTTAAACTTGATTGGGGAACAGTGTTTTTCCCAGGACTCATTAGCTCCAAGTCAAGTTGTTGTCCTTCAGTCTTAGTTGTGGAGGGTGCAGCTCAGCTCCAAGTCCAGTCGCCTGTTTTCAATCTAGTTGCGGGAGTTGAACTGGCAACCTTGTTGTTAAGAGCATGTGCTCTAACCAGCTGAGCCACCTGGCTGCCCAAGATTTCTTTTCTTAAGGCTGAACACTTCAAAATGTATATGCCACATTTTCTTCTTCATCCAAAAATCTGTTGACATTTAGGTTGTTTCCACCTCTTAGCTATTGTGAATAATCTTGAAATGAACATGGGAGTGTAGATATTATTTTGAGATCCTGATTTCAATTATTTTGCATAAATGCCCAGAAGTGGGATTGCTGGATCATACGGTAGTTCTATTTTTAATTTTTTGAGGAACATCTGTACTGTTTTCCATAGTGGCTCTACCAATTTGCATTCCCATCAAGAGTCCCTTTTCTCCACGTCCTTCCGAACACATGTTATCTTTTCTTTTTGATGATGGCCATTGTAACATGTATGAGGTGATCTCTCATTGTGGTTTTGGTTTGCATTTCCTTGATGATTTCAGCATCTTACCATATTACCTGTTCGACATTTGTATGTCTTCTAAAGAGAACGTCCATTGAAGAGCTTTGACCATTTTTTTTCCATTGGAATTTTTGTGTTGTTGAGTTGTACTGTGCAAGGGTTCCAATTTCTCCACATTCTTGCTGACACTTTGGATCTAATTAGTTTGCTTGGACTGCTGATGTATCGTTAGTATCTACCTCCAGAAAAGGAACCTCCTACCACCCACCAAAATTTAGAATAGAAAACTCTTGCTTCCCTTTTTCCAAACTGAAAGTGATTATTAGACCCTAGGGGCTTTTGTTTGGATGATTTGGGAAAGAGCTAGAGAAGGTTCTTGGAGGAAAGTAGGTAAATGCCCCTTTAAAAATAAAAAAATAAAATTATTTTTAAAAACAGGTCGTGGTGGGTCAAAAATAAGAGACATCCAGAGTACAACAAACACCAAAATAGAGGTAAGTGATCTGTGTTCTTAAATCCTTAAAGAGTATAGTTCATCCCTAACTGTAGCTTTGCTCAGTTATTATCATACTGTGGTAGCTTAGATAAGTTGCCAAAGCTCTTCATACTGCCATTCTTTTCAAGAACTCACCTAAGCTATGGTCCATTCCAGGTCTAGGTTTTTTGACTCATGGAAATAAAAAATCTTTAGAGATAATCTTCACTGAAGAATTAGGTCTCTGGGGACTATTTTTCATGCCCTTCCTGACCGTCATTCCTCAAATCTTGAGCTGTTTCTGTTCTCTGTTCTCAGTCACAGTAAGCAGCCACATCAGTCACCAAGTTTCCAAGTCAGAAATATCAGATTACTAACTTCTCCTTATCCTACAACCAGTCCATCATTGAGTCCTTTAATATTTCTTGTATTTCTCAAGGGAAATCACATCATTTGGTGGCATTCTCCCCTAAGTGAACCATACTGCTTTCAGCGTATGTCCTCCTCATAACCACTCTCCACTGTGTCCAGAGCAATCTTTCTAAAACAAATTGTGCATGTTCATGACTTTTTTCTGCATAAAAGCCTTTAAAATATCTCAGACACTGATAGCAATCCTATGTTTACGTTATACTTTTATACTATTTGAAGTTGAGTGATTGTTGGAGGGGGTAAAGGTGAGGGGACTTCAGTCACCTATTTCTCCCCTTGAATCTAGATAATAAAAGGGTGCCCTGAAGCAGAAGTGAAAATTTTCGGCAGCAAGACAATGCAGACAAAAGCAAAAGCAGTGATAGATAATCTTGTTAAAAAACAAGAAAATTACAGTTCACATCCCAGAGTTGGTAAGTAATTTTTGCCCACTAAAGTCCTGTAAAATTTTTTAAATTTTCATTCAGTGTTATAAGCCATGCTATAGCTGATAGTCTTTCTGATAACAAAGCTTTAGGTTGCCATCATTAAATCTGGTCTGTTATAAGAACTTATTTTTATGGAATACCAGAATACTTTCTCCTCAAATGAAAACACTTAATCTCTGTGATTAAGCCTAGCAGTTTTACTTGTAGCCACTGATGAGTGGAAAAAACCAAAATAACCTTTTCAGTATACTTCTATTAATGATAGAGCAGGGATTAGTCCAGGCCTCCTGTCTGTATACCCTCTTTCCTGGAACATAACTGACTTTGAAAATTGCCTAATTATTTGGTATTTTAAAAATCTCAGATCTACTTGGACTAGAGAAAAAGCCATTATTGAACCATTTCCAGAAGCGACAAGAAAGTAAAATGAATCAAGTCTTGGGTTCATATGGCAGCATTGGCTCTTAGTGTTTCTTGGGAAGAAACCTAAGAAGCCTGTAAGACTCCATTTCTTCATCTGTTAACCTGCAGTAACATCTGCCTCACAGGATTATTGTAAAGATTAAGTGATATGTGTGATTTATTGGTAGACACGAGGCTCTCATGCTATTTAACTTTTCTTCTCCAGGAAATTAAAATTGTTTCCATTTCATAAATCTGAAGTATATAACTGATGCCAAAAACCATGACCAGAATTGTCATGGTAGTGTAACAGTAAAACTCTAAATATTGCAAGCATTGTTGTCTGGTTGTTAAAATACAAAATAGTAAAATGGCTTTCAGTATTTTGTACTGGTAGGATTTATTTTGAAACTGGTAAAAATATTTTAACAGATTTTGTTGCATCTCAAGCTTCTGTTCGAAGAGATGTAAGGACAGATGACAGTGTTGTTACAGATCAGCCATTGATTGATTGGGATCAAATTCGAGAAGATGCTTTGAAATGGGGAGAAAAAAAGTGGGCAGGTTAGTGCTGCATTCTAACATTTACATGTGGTGTTGATATTTCCCTTAATTGAGGTTTTTATCTCTAAAATGTGTTACTTTTAATAATAAACTCTATGAAAAATGATAGTAAAATTTGCAATGCTGCAATTAGTCCCTTGGGCATGATACTTTCTATGTTGTCTGTATTGTGATTTATGCTATAAATGGAAAATTAAAATATTAAACTTAATACCTTATTTGAGGTTGCAGAAGTTTCTGAGGTTAGAGTAAGGATAAATATTTTATTCCTAAACAGTAATGGGATGGACCTTCAAAGAAAAGATAAAATCAGTTCACTATGTTTGAGAGAAGATTTATCAATTGTGATGGTTCTTTTGTTTTGTTTTGTTTTGTTTGTTTTTTGTTTTTTGTTTTTTTTTTAGCTGAGCCATCCTGCTACCTATTGGTAGCTTAGCAGCTGCTCAGCTCGGGCTGGCATCGAACCGCTGTTGCTCAGAGCTCAAACTCTTGAGCGAGCTCTTAACCAACTGAGCCACTCGGCCGGCCCTGTGATGGTTCTTGTAAAGCATAGATTCTTTTATACTTACTTAATTTTAACTTAAAGATCTCTTTCTTGGGTGAAAAAATGTAAAGAAAGACAAACCAAAATAGGAGATCTCTTAGAGTCTGGCATAAACCCGGCTGGCAAAGTGTACAACTGTCTAAAGCTGTATGTATGCAAGGTGAACTTGATATACATTTTAATTTGATTTCTGTTAATTGAGTGTTAGTGAAGTATAAGTTCTCATTATTTATCTAAGTATGAATTTTCTTGTTTGTCCCAGATTTACCCCCAATTAAGAAAAACTTTTACATGGAGTCAGAAACAACAAGTTCAATGTCACAAGCACAAATAGATAATTGGAGGTAGGTAGTTTTATTACTTCTTTAAGTGTGTATTTGTATAGTTATATTATTAAATTAACTCAGTAGGCAAAGATTTGAAATGATTGCATTTGAAGTTTATACTTTTCATATAAATGAAAACTTGGTTGCATCCTACATGATATGTTTTAGAGCATTGCTATCCAATAAAACTTTCTGCAAAGATGGAAAATGGGTTATATTTGTGTCTGCTAGAGTAGTCACTGTCCATATGTAGCTATTGAACATTTAAAATATGGCTAGTATAATTGAGGAATTGAATTTTTAATTTAAAATTTAAAAAGACACGTGGTGAATGCCTGCTGTATTGAACAGTTTTAGAGAATTATATTTATACAACTGTTGGAAATCATAAGGAATTTATCTGATACCTGAATAATAGAATAATTTCTTACTCTTTAGTCCTTATTATCTGGAATTAAAGTCCTAATGGCAACATTTTTTTTCTATTAATGTCTGTTATAAAACTAAGATAGTATGGTATAGCAGAAAACCCAGTTATTCTAGGATTCGGTTAGGGCTCAGACCTTAGACAAGTAACTAATGATCACCTGTCAAATGAGAATTATTTCCATTTCACAGGATTGTTGAGGATAAATTAAGGAAATATGAGTGGAACATTGTAGGCCCTCAAGTGTTTGCCAGATTTCATTTTGAATCATGAAGCATATGTTTTTCAGGCTCTGTTCTTAACCTTCCCATGAAACTTTCCTTGGCCCATTTATACATACAATGTAATTTTTTTCTTTTCTCTGCAGCTATTCCGATAAAAAAAATGGGCTCACTTCTATTTCTTAGTAGTTACATTTTATTATAACTTTACTAACAGTCTGGGTTTCATTAGTTGCAGTTGAGTTTCTAGATAAGACCTGAACTAACACTGGAAAATTTCTTGCTTAGGGAATAAAGGGACCAAAGCACTAATATTTGTTCTATTTTTCCTTAAAGGAAGGAAAATTATAATATAATGTGTGATGACTTGAAAGTTGGTGAGAAACGTCCTATCCCCAATCCTACTTGTAAATTTGAGGATGCCTTTCAGTGTTATCCTGAAGTTATGGAAAACATTAAAAAGGCAGGTTTTCAAAAGCCAACACCAATTCAGGTATGCTGAATAATTTTTTAATTCTATTATTTCACTGACCATTCCTCCTTCCCCCCCCCCTCCGCCCCCAAACAATGTCTGATTGTTAGAAGTTAAATCATCAGGGAACAACTGTCTCTAATGAGCACTCCCCCAGCACCTCCTACAGCACCAGTGCCTAGCACTCAGAAATATTTGTGGAAAGAAATTAGGTTTTGGGAGAAAAGAAATGCACTTATTATTTTACTATTTATTGTTCTGTTTCAGTCACAAGCATGGCCAATAGTTCTACAAGGAATAGATCTTATAGGAGTCGCCCAAACTGGAACAGGGAAGACATTGTCCTATTTAATGCCTGGATTTGTTCACCTTGACTCTCAACCAGTGTAAGAATTCCTACAACTGGGTTCTCTTTATAGGGGTTTAATCGATATGGGTACCAAAAATGCAATAAAAGTTTCTTTCATGTATTGCTTTGGTCAAAAGGTAATGCAGGGAAATGCACTTGTACTGTGCTTGTGAAAGTATAAATTGACAAAAGATTTTGGGAAGCAATAGGTAGTATTTAAGAAAAGTTTTAATAGTGAAGCAGTGAAAACAAATTGTTTAAATTACATCCATTACAATTGTATGAGAGAATTTTTGAGACATGAAAGCACTGAGCATGTTAAATGAAAAGGCTTTATCTGGGCCCCTGGATTTTTTGTTTGGCTATTTTTTGTTTTGTTTTGTTTTGTTTTTACAAGTTTAGCTAGTGGGTTTTACACTGAGTACATTAAGTTTATTAAACACATGAAAAAGTAGACTTTTATGCATTAAGAAGACTTACAGCTATTGCCACAAACTCATAGGCCATGTACAAATACCCCTTCTCAAGGACCTTCTTGGAGTGTGGTGAAATGGAGCATTTAGACTCTTCGGAAATGTAGGTTCTCTTCTCAGCTTTATACCAGTTAGATGGATTATTATAAACATTTCACATGATTACCTGGATGTTGTTTTTCATTTGAAAAATGGATTCAATTCTCCTGAATGGCACATTTTAGCTCTACTGTTATAAGGCTTTTCACATAATTTCCCTATTTAAAATGATTAAAGATTTGGGGCTATCTTTGCCTTTAACCACATGCTGTTGTTTTACCTAATGCCTATTTTATTGGCTATTTTTCTGTAGTTCTCCACTTTTTATGGTGAATGTATGTAACTTGGACACTCATTGCTACAAATTTTGAAAGCACTGAATGAATGTACCATGTATCTGAGATAAGTACTTAAATCTGTTTTCTCTTCCAAGAGCCAGAGAGAAAAGGAATGGACCGGGCATGTTAGTCCTTACACCTACTCGAGAATTAGCTCTTCAAGTGCAAGCTGAATGTTCTAAGTATTCATATAAAAGTCTTAAAAAGTAAGTCATTTAGCCATCCCTGCACCAGCATCTTAATCATTTGTATCTTTATACATTCTCCCATTCTTTTTCATACATTCAAAATCTGGCATCTGGGTGGCTCAGTTGGTTATAGTGTGCATTGCACAACAAGGTTGCTGGTTTGATCCCTGCATGGACCACTTTGAGCTGCGCCGTCCTTAAAAAAAAAAAGGAAAAATCTGATTGGCCCAGCATGGGTCAGGGCTGAGGTCAATAACAATGATGCAAATGTGGCTCTTTAGGACACATCATTGTGGGTTGATGGCTGTGGTTAGTTTTCAAAAAGGGGCAAATACTACCAAAGACATCTGATACTTTTTTTGATTTATGTACCTTTTATTGTATTTTGTTATATTATACCCAAAATGCTTAGGTTGGTTGGGATTTTGAGTTGTGATGTTATATTTCTTACCAGAACATGAACCTCTGTATTTTTTTCTTTTTTAAGTGTTTGTATATATGGTGGTGGAGATAGATATGGACAAATACAAGACTTGACAAAAGGTGTAGATATCATTATTGCAACTCCCGGAAGATTGAATGATCTGCAAATGAATAACTTTGTCAACCTGAAAAGTGTGACCTACTTGGTAATCATGGAGTAAGGGTTTGGGATACTAGGAGGAAGAACTGAATTCTTATTTAAAACAGTCTTTTAGAATGGCTGTCCATTTTATAATGATTTTTCATTCTAGGAATATTTCCCATTCCCTCTCTTATGTTAAAGATTTCAAGATAATTGTTTTTTGGTTTTTTTTAAAGATTTTATTGGGGAATTGGAGGAGGGGAACAGACAAGTTGCTGTCCTTTTGGTCTTCTGTCTAGTTGTGGAGGACGTCAGTTCACTGGCCCATGTTGGTGTTATCATTGCGCTCTTCCTGGGTGAGGCAGATGGGTTGCTGGCCACTGAACAGCCGCTCACGGCAGCTCTTGGCAGCTCACACTGGCTGTCAGCCACTCATTGTAGCTTATGGCAGCCTACTGCAGCTTCACTGCAGCCTACACCATCGCCTCACGGCAGCCCAGTTCCAGGTCGAGCTGATGTTCATCTTAGCTGTAGAGGGCACAGTGTCACTGGCCCTAATGTGGGATCCGAACCAGGGCCCTGCTGCTCAGAGCTGGCATCCTAAGCCAACTTTTAACCAACGCACCACTCAGCCAGCCCCAAGATAATTGTATTTTAATGTTCTTTATAAATGCTGGAAAATATAAGTACAAAAGAATATTAAAATTCACATAGCTATTTTAGACACAATTTTTTTTTCATTAAATAGATTTAGAAACAGTTAGCCAACTTAAATCAATTTATGTTACAGCTACAGACAGCTTTTTTTCTCTTAGAGAAATTAAAATAGTGGCTTAGGTAATAGGGAAAATGAGAAAAAAATTACCTCTTAGTGTTAGATAGCATATATATTAGCTACCTCTCATATCTAATCTAGCCACAAACATTTTTAATGCAGGTAATAGATGAAGCTGACAAGATGCTGGATATGGGATTCGAACCCCAGATAACGAAAATTTTATTAGATGTACGCCCAGACAGGCAGACTATTATGACAAGGTAGGTATATGCCTAATTGCTAGTCTGTAAAATAGAAATCAGTGAAATTGAATCCATTCTTTTTGGTTGATTTTTCCACAGGATTTTTAGAGCATTACTTGAAAGTATTTTAAGATCCTTAGGTGAAAGATAACATGTCATCACTTATATAGCAACTCAATGTAACAGTGTAACAAGGACTATTGGGTTTCCTAAGTTACAGACAGAGACTTTTATAAAATCATAAAGGGGACTCCTGGAGAGGAAACTGTTTCATAGTGGGGTCTCACATTTGAATAAGTGATCACCTGTCTTTAGAGGTAAACATTTGATTACTGAATGTGTGTTTGCACAAGATAAAACTGAGGAAATAATTATTGTTATTTATTTTTTATTATTTTTTTTAATGATTGTTATTTAAATGCCGAGTGATCTATACACCATTTTCTCCTTTGTATTATTAGCATAAAAAAGAATAGTACATAATTGAGGAAATATACAGAAATTCTTCACTCAGTTTTCTTATTATTAATCTTCTCATCAGTCACTACTATGAAAGTATAAAAGGTGGTTACTTACTTGAAGAAACATTTGAATTTACAGATCCTTTCATTAGTACACTTTAAAATGTTTTTATTTGGCATAAGCACTTAGTTTTGCCTGCTGACCATGTATGAAAAATACAAGATTTATTTTATTTTATTTTTTTAATAAAGGCCATGAGAAAACTAACAGTTGAAATCAGTTTACTTTTTCATTGGTTTGAATTTAAGGTATAAGTCTCCTTTACCTTTGTTTTATAGACCTACTTATTAAACATATTTAAAGGTTTCATCTGGTAGCTTCACTATAGTTGAGCAAATTTTTGTGAAGCATACATTTTATGTAAAATGACTATTGAAAAATAATAAATTTGTCTTTCATGGGCAATTTGGTTTATAGCATTCTTAGGGAAACTTAGTAATATTTGATTTATAATTAATTTTTAATGTTCGTGTGTCATTTTTATTTCCAGTGCAACATGGCCATGTGCTGTCCGTCGACTTGCACAGTCTTACTTGAAAGAGCCCATGATGGTTTATGTTGATACTTTGGATCTAGTTGTAAGCTTGTTTTTTATTATTATTAAAATATGTCTTACTAATTATGGAAATTTTAATATGTTTTGTTTTGGCATGTCTCCTCTGCCCACGCCTTAATTTTAGAGCAAATACTAGACACATGATTTTATCTGTAACTACTTCAGTATATATGTCTAAAAGACTAATTTAAACATATCTATAGTACAAGTATCTCACTTCTGAAATTTTAATAATCCTTTAATATTATCAAATATCTAGCCAGTATTTTAATTTTTCTGGTATCTCATAATATCTCATTTTAATTAACCCTGTTAGAATCAGGTTCTAAACAAGGTCTACATCTGTGCATATATTTAAGTCTGGTGTTCTCAGTGGGAGTTAGGATAGATCAGTGGGTTAAGTTGTTGTTAGTAATTATACAATTTATAATTAAAGATCTCCATTATATCTCTCTTCCACTATAAAGTTATCTGGCCTTTCAATCAATAGTTTTAATTCACCTTTCAATTAGTCATTAATGAGAATTGACCTTTTTTACTTATTAATAATAATAATGTGTCATTGCCTAGGCTCATAACATAGTTGGTTAAGAGCTCGCTCAAGAGTTTGAGCTCTGAGCAACAGCGGTTCGAGTCCCGGCGTGAGCTGAGCAGCCGCTGAGCTGCCAACAGGTAGTAGGATGGCTCAGCTAAAAAAAACAAAAACAAAAACATTAGGTTTCATGAAAGGCAGGATAAAGGCTTGGTTCTTTCCTTTTATTAAATGTTATTAAAATCTATTTTATCTCTGTCAAAGAATGGTATCAATGATATTTTGAAATTTTGCATTAAATTGTCAGAATACTCATTTGAATGGACACTTTTGTGTGGAAGCTAACCATCTTCTTACATTGTAAGGGCTATACCCAAAATTCATGATAGTTTTTGTAAGCTTAGCCTCACCCCATGGTTATTTTTTTTCCTATAATGGTAACCAATTGCTTTCAACATTCAAGAGTTTCCAACCTCTCTTGGATGAATAAGTAATAAAAAGTGAAAAGCCAAGCTATTGTACAAATCCTTGAGTAGAAACAGGTAATTTTGCAAGGACCTTTCTTCCTGTTAGCAGTTTATTAAAATATTAACCAATAATAGAAATAAGATGTGTTTCGAGCCAAGGTATGGGATTTCCCTGTCAATGTTGATGTACTATGATCTTTGAATCTCTTAGGCTGTAAGTACTGTGAAGCAAAATATAATTGTCACCACAGAAGAAGAGAAACGATCTCATATCCAAACTTTCCTAGAGAGCATGTCTCCCAAAGACAAAGTTATAGTGTTTGTCAGCAGAAAATCTGTGTAGGTATTTTTTTCTTTTACATCCTTAATCATGAAATTGATTTATTTAGCATTATTTCTATTTGTATACTAATTTCAAGTGGGGTGTGTATGTCTTACAGTATGTTATTTCAGACTTTTGTTAATAAAAGTAAGATAGTGAATTAATGGTGGTATTAGAATAAGCACTTAAGGTCACTATCTTTTGCTTCAGTGCTGATCACTTATCAAGTGACCTGATTCTCCGCCATATATCGGTAGAGTCTCTGCATGGTAACAGAGAACAGAGCGATCGAGAGAGAGCATTAGAAAACTTTAAAACAGGTACATTTACACAATTATTGTTTGTTGCATTTTAGAAGTGTACAATGCATGTGGTTGGCTGAGTTATAGCTCCTTTTCATGGAACCCATTTCTAAGATCTGTCCTCAGCTTACAGATCCCAAAACTTTACTTGTTAGAGCTCTAAATATTAATCAGACTGTCAGAACTATCCAAACTCAAAGAGCTAATGTTTAAACCTAGATGTCAAGCTAATAATTTGCGGGGAATTATTTCTATTAATTTCCCTGAAAGGCTAATATCTCTGTGACATGGCTCAGATGATTCAGGGACCATTTGCTGAACCATGGTATCTATTGCGTTGTAACTTGCCAGCAGTTAAAAATAAAGACTAGCTATCTCTTTCCCATTTTTACTACCTTAAATGTTTTAATATTAAAGGCAGTAATAGTTCACCTGACTAGGTATTAGGAGAAAATACACTTTCTGATTGGTCTGGGGTTGGTTTATGCCAGAAAGTGTCTATATTCTTTTGGCTTTACTCTTTAGGTAAAGTGAGAATACTGATTGCTACTGACTTAGCATCTCGAGGTCTCGATGTCCATGATGTCACACATGTCTATAATTACGATTTCCCCCGGAACATTGAAGAATATGTGCACAGAGTAGGGCGCACTGGAAGGGCAGGGTAAGTGAGCATAGTCTGCCCATGAAGGAAGCCATCCCTGGCTCCTTATTACTCCTCTTCGACATTTTGACCTACAAAATGGTTTTGTTCTCTTGCCTGTAAATTGAGCTGCCTTAGAACATGCTTTGCTTTTTTTTTTTTTTAGCTGAATCATCCTGCCACCTATTGGCAGCTCAGCTCGGGCTGGACTCGAACCGCTGTTGCTCAGAGCTCAAACTCTTGAGCGAGCTCTTAACCAACTGAGCCACTCGGCTAGGCCAACTTTGCTTCTTGATTCCTGCCCAGTTAGCCTGTTCCAGGTTCAACCAGACCCCTCTGATTAGCTGCATGTAACTTTCCAGGTCCACTCTTTGCTTTATATACAGTGTCACAAAACTGACTTAAAACCAGTGGTTACTCTGTTGTCAAAGCTGGTATGTGTAAGAGGACCTTTTCTCTCCCTGAGAGCACTACTGTCATAAACTCTTTCTAACGTGCTGTTTAAACAACTGCAGATTGCTTAGAGTCCAAATTGCTGTTTTCTTTTTTTTTTTAATGTATATAAGAATTTATTTATGCCAAACTGACAGCAATTGCTGGGAAGCAAGATCTCAAATGCTCTCCCAAATTGTTCTTTGAATGATGCTAAATCTTGATATATAATACATATTTGGTCTTGTGAAAGAGTTGAGGTTTTGCTGCTGCTGTTTTTATTTTAGTTTGCTAATTGAATAATATAAATTTTAAATCGAGTTTTCCCCCCCATTAAAGGAGGACTGGAGTGTCAGTTACCCTTATCACTAGAAATGATTGGAGGGTTGCCAACGAATTAATTAACATTCTGGAAAGAGCAAATCAGGTGAGAATATAAAACTCATTAGAACTCTACCTCATATCACTTTTCTAATGTTCAAATAATTTCATTTATTCTAAGTGCTAGGGCTTACTACTTTCCAGGAAAGACAGATATTTAACAAGTAATTGAACATGAGGGCAAAGATAAGCAGCTATAATATGTAATCGGGGAACCTAATCTAATGGGCGTGAGCATCACTGAAAACCCTGTTGAGGAAGAAACCAGTGGGTTAACAGAATTGTAGAAAAACGGGTAAGTGTTCCAGCAGGAGAACATATTCAGGCCTAGAGATGAGAAAGAGCATACAGAGAGTGGCACCAGGTAAGGCATGTTAAGGTTACTGGGAAGCAACTGGGAGCTATACAAGCCATGGATAAGTATAATGATGGGTGTTTTTAAGATCAGTCTGATAGCTTAAAGATAAATTCAGAGTTTAATATGCAGGGAGACACATTTCATTCTATTTGAAAGATATCATGTAATCAGTTGTGGAGATTTTCTGATTGAAATGATTTGGAGGCATTTTAGCACACTGTAGAAAAGCTTTTATACCAAAAGAAAAATCTCAATCCTAATAATCCATTTAATGGTTTCAGAGCATCCCAGAAGATCTTGTGTCGATGGCTGAGAGATACAAGGCAAACAAACTGAAAAAAGAAATGGAAAAAAAGTTGGGAAGACCCCAAGGAAACCCCAAGAAGTTTTCTTGTTAATGTCTTTGTTGAAAAGTGTTACCAGCCTACGTATAGGAGGTAAAACTTGCATAACACATGGACTTTCAGATGCCTGTTTTCCTTAACTGCGCTTTGTTAGTATGTTTATTGCAATCAGCATTATTTCTGAGTCATTAACATAATAAATTACTAGGTGTTACTCTTTATCTGTTACCTAAATTCCAGTTAATATCTTTAGAGTTAGAAGTATTAATTCAGAATTGAACAAACAGACTTTAAATTGTACAGAAAGATCAAGAGTGTAATGGATTGTCATAACCTCTTCTGAACAATTTGGTAATGTACCAATTAAAATACTTACACCTTTTGATCCAGCAATTCTTCTAGGAATGTATTCTGTAAGTATGTATGCATATACAAGTAAAGATTTATTATAGCAACATTTGTAGTAGGAAGAGTATACTCTAAATGTCCAGTAGGGTACCATATGAATAAACTATGGAGAAAATATTTTTGCAAATCATATATCTGGTTAAGGGATTAATACCTACAATATAGAGAATTCCTAAAACTGAACAGAAACAACCAACCTGATTTTTAAAAGGGGCAAAAGATTTTAACAGACATTTCTCTAAAGAAATACACAGAATGACCAACAAACAGATGAAAAGATGCTCAACCTCACTCATCACTAGGGAAATGCAAATCAAAAACACATGAGATCACACCACACCCACTAGGATGGCTGCTATAGGATCCCTATTATCAAATAAACAGAAAATAAGCATTGGCAAGGATGTGAAGAAATTGGAACCCTTGTGCACTGTTGGTGGGAATATATAATGGTGGTTCATCCACTATGCAAAATATGGCAGTTCCTCAAGAAATACAATCCAGCAATCCCACTTCAGGGTACATATCCAAAAAGAATTGAAAGCAGCATCCCTAAGAGGTATTTGTACACCCATGTTCATAGCAGCTTTATTTATAATAGCCAGAAAGTGGGGGCAACCCAGGTGTGAATAAATGGATAAACAAAATGATGTGTAAAATCAAATTCTGACACACTACAACATGGATGAACCTTGAGGACGTTACGTTAAGTGGAAGGACATTATGCTAAGTGAAATAAGGACAAATACTGTATGATTCCATATACATGAGGTACCTAGAGTAGTTACTCATAGAGACAAAGTAGAATATTGGTTGCCAGGAGTTGCTGGAAGTGGGGAAATGGGGAGATGTTTAATGGGTAGTTTCAGTTTTGCATAATGAATAAGTTCTGGCAATTGGTTGTAGAACAATGAATACACTTAACATTTTAACACTACAACTGTGCACTTAAAAGAATGGTTAGGATGGTAAATATTGTTAAATGTATTTTATCACAATTAAAAATTTTTTTAAAATTTGGAAACAGCAGTTTATGTTCTTTTTCTACTTATTTTTCAGGACTCAAGATTTTTTAGAGATCTACAACTTAAGCTATATGAAAGTATGGAACATACTGGCAGTGTGAAGACTGATTCTTAATAGTGTTTTAAAATGCAGAATTCAATATTTTATACTTTAATCAAAAGTATTTAAACGAGTTGAAAATATTTTTCATGGATATTAAGGAATATAGCAATTTTTTTTCACTTTTTACTACCTTTAATTTCAAAAAATAAAAGTAAATTTTGTCTCCTATAATGTTGCTGTATTAAGGCCAGTTTGTAAAGGTTTAAAGCTTGTCATGGCAGTGAAAAAGATACTGTTAACAAAATAAAAATTTTCTATGATAAAAAGATAAGCTGATCTCTGTCTTGCAGAATAGGTTTTTAATTTTGTTTTGCTAAATATTTATTCATGGGTACTTTCCTTAAGAGATTACATTTCACCTACATTGCAATGAAACAGTAAAAGGATTTCATGGGACCAAAATATGCAACAGCTATTTCTTACATTTTAGCCCATAGTTCTCTGCTAAAATAAATCCTAGGAAAATAATTTCATTTCCATGAAAGCTTTGACAACTTTCCCTTACAGTTTTCTCTTCCATATAGGATAGTTACTTGTATTGACATTTAGTAATTTTTTAAAAGTATTCATATTTGTGTATAGTTAGGTTTTCATTTAATTTTACAGGTATTCATTCATGCAATAATAGTTCCCTGGTATTAGTGATAAGGATATTAATAAAAGAACAGACAGAAAATGTAAAAGAAATGGATGAATTAGAAAATACAACAGTTGATTCTTCAGTAATACCCATCAAATAGACAAATTTCTGGTAAGTCTGAGTGGGGAAGAGGAAACAGCACTCCCTGCTCTAATGACCTTAGGTATGCATGTGCATAAAACTGTTAAGGGCTGGCCGAGTGGCGCATTGGTTAAGAGCTGGCTTGGGATGCCAGAGGGCCCCGGTTTGGATCCCACATATGAGGGCCAGTGACACTGCCCTNGGTACGTTCCATCTCAAAAGTTTGCTGACTCCTGGAAGAGCCAATCCTGTCCCTCACAACAATTTAAAAATTATTCGAGACCCATAAATATATTTTTACATAATTACCATTATGTGAATAATATCCTTTAAAATTTTATAAATGAAACTATGATAGTTTTATTTTCATTTTCAATTTTACTTCAGAGCCACATGTACATACCCACAGAGCTACATGTGGCTCGCAAGCTGCAGTTTGCTGACCCCTGGTGGCTTTTCTGTCTCAAAAGTTTGCCAACCCCTGGTCTAGATAATACTGCAGGTCAATCTAGCCATGCACTTCCCCCAGAACTCAACCCAGCAATGATCATCTTCAGGTTTGAGCTATCGAGTAAAAAAAAATAAAAAATAAAAAAATTAAACATTCCATAGATAATCCCAAATTTATCAAAAGAAGGAAGTTACCTGCAACACTTCTCTCCATTTTCTTCACAGCATGTTTTAGAATTTCCATGATTACCCAAAATGAGCTTTTCAATGTGAGAGAAGGATATCCGCCATGTTTCTTCTTAATTTCCAAAAGAAAAACAGAAAAGTACTTTATCAAGAATGTCAATATACAAACAACACAATAGTTAAGTAATTTCCTTCATTAAAATATTATTCTGAAAAATTTCTAGGTGGACATAGACTAAAAGAAGTGAACAGGCCGGCCCAGTGGCTCAGTTGGTTGAGCTCGCTCAAGAGTGTGAGCTCTGAGCAACAGGGTTGCCGGTTCAATTCCCGGCCCAAGCTGAGCGGCCTGAGCTGAGATACTGCAGGACAGCTCAGCTAAAAGAAAACAAAAAAAAAATCAACAACAAAAAAACTTAACATATAAATAATGTGATTACATATTAAAAGAAGTCATTGAAGCAAACAATGGACCAAGGTAGGAATAAATGGGTGAAGAGGTTAGAGCTGAGTATAGTTCGTGATGGTAAGATGTATTACCTTCTACATATTGTTAAATTCAGTTTGTTAATATTTGTTTCACTAATAATTTGAATCAATGGATTCAAAAATTTTTTAACCATCCTTGCAAATTTTGATATTCATGTAAAATGAACTAGGAAACATTTCCTTTCTTTCTATTCTATGGAAGAGTTTGTGTAAGATTAAAATGATCTCCCCCCAGCTGCTCCCCAAGCTTTACTACCATGGCTAATAGCGCTTTTTTTTTTTTAAGAGTTTATTGGGGAATTAAGGAAGGGGAACAGCCAAGTTGTTGTCCTTCAATCTTAGTTGTGGAGGGTGCATCTAGCTCAGCTCCAAGCCCAGTCACCATCTGGCCGACAGTTGGCAGCTCATGGCCGCTCAGCTCAAGGTGCCATGTTCAATCTCAGTTGCTTGTGGGCGTAGCCTACCATCCCATGCAGGAGTCGAATCACGTGTTCTCACCAGCTGAGCCATCCTGCCACCTGTTGGCAGCTCAGCAGCAGCTCAGCTCGGGGCACAGCATCACTGGCCCATGTGGGAATTGAACCGGCAACACTGTCGCTCAGAGCTCGCACTCTTAACCAACTGAGACACTTGACCAGCTCTTGCTAAGAGCTTTTCAAGCTCAGACTATCTATTGCCTCATTGGTTTTATACCAGAAATGGACGATTGGTTTATAATTTAAAAATCAATCAATATAATCTGTCACATTAACAGAATCAAGAAGAAACATGATCATCTCAATAGAAGCAGAATATACAGCTAATAAAATTTAACATTCATTCATTTAAAAAAACAACTCAGCAATTTAAATCTAGACAGAAACTTGATCTGATCAAAGACTTTCAAAACACAATAACATGACAATATAAGGTAAAAAACTGAGGTTTTTCCTTTGAAATCAGGAAGGCAGGATGTCTGCTTCCCCTATTTCTGTTCAACATGCACTAGCTATCCCAGCAAATATAGTAAGGGAAGGAAAAAGAAGATTATAGCATTGGAAAGGGAGAAACAAAGCTATCATTATTACTATTGGGTTGTTGGAAAAGTCATGACGTATTTTTTCTCTGATTTTCATTGCAAAAATGCATCATGACTTTTCCGACAACCCAATAGGTGGCACAATTTGCATAAGTAGAAAATACAAAAGAAGCTGGGTAACAGGTATACATGTGAGTTCATGTGGTCTTCACTCTACTTTTCTATTGGTTTAAAATTTTCATACTAAAAAGTTATAATTGCTTATGAGTAAATCTAATAAAAGATATACAAAATTTCTGTGGAGAAAACTCTGTACTAGAGGAAATCGTAATAAATGGAGGTGTGTACCTTTCCATGAAGTGGAAGACTCCTTATTGTAACTATATCAAGTCATCCCAAATTTATCTATAGACTCAAGATACTCCCAATAGAAATTCCAAAAAATGTTTTTGTGGAACATGACAAGATAATACCATAATTTTTATGAAAATACAAAGGATCAAGAATATCTAAAACACTCTTGAAGAAAGACAAAGTGGGAGAACTTACCCTATCAGATATCAAGACTTATAAAGATACATTATGTATGACACTATGGTACAGTGCAAGAGTAGACAAAGATTTTAATGGGACAGAATTAAGAGTGTAGTAACAGGAGCTGGGCTGCCGTGGGTTGCTGGCGACGGCGTAGGCCCCTGCTGCAGTGCCCCTGCTGCAGTGGGTTGCCATGGGCTACCGTGTGTAGCCAGCAGCCAGCGTGAGCGGCCAGCAGCCGCAGTGAGCGGCCGTCCAGAAGCCAGCNCAGCATCTCAGCTGCGGAGGGCAGCGTCACTGGCCCTCATATGTGGGATCCGAACCGGGGCCCTCTGGCGTCCCAAGCCAGTTCCCAACCATCGCGCCACTCGGCCGGCCCCAAACATTTTTTTTATAAGTAGAAAGAGTACACTCTACAATAATGATAAAAAGTATAGTATAGTAAACAAATTCATAGACCAGTAACAGACATGTATTATCATTATCAAGCATTACGTGTACACTTTGATATGACTGACAGCACAGTTTACAACAGCGTCACCACAAACACACGAGTAATGCATTGCACTACATTACCATGACTGATAGGAATTTTTCAGCTCCATTATAATCTTATGGGACCACCGTCATACTCGTATATGTGGTCTGTCATTATGTGGCACGAGTGTATATAAAATATATAAGGAACTTCTACAAAACAATGAGAAAACATTCATTAAAATAGCCATAAAGAAAATGTGCAAAAATATAGGAATAGGAAAAAGTGAACAACAGTTGCCTCTAGCTTAACCACTGCCTGAGCACAGACAAGAGAGGGTGACATTTTATTCCATACCCACTTCTTTGAATTATATACTATGTGTATGTACTGCCTTTTCAGAAATACATATAAAAGTGTTACTAAAAATAAAAATAAGAGAAAATAAGTTATGTTTTATACTTAGCCACACATTAAATTTCCCAATATTTTCCTATAAGATTATGAATTTCCTGACACTTGTGGAGACAATGTAGAACTTATTTTTTCATTTCCTTACCTATCTTACTACATTGCTTCCAAACGTTTGTGCATTGAACTAAGCCTGCCAGATTTATGTAAGCAACGATCGTTTCTAATATTGTCTCTTGTAACCTTCCACACATTTGTGCTCAGTGAAAAGTGGTGTTCAATAAGTGCTTGATGAATGTAAGGTAATAGGTATTCTGTCCTTTTCATTCCAACCTGATAAAGCTTTTAGATCTTTTTTTTGAAATTAAAGTTTATTGGGGTGACAATTGTTATTAAATTACAGCTTCTAAATTTTATTTATTTATCTTTTATTAAGATTTTATTGGGGAATTGGGGGAGAGGAACAGCATTGGGGAATAGGGGAAGGGGAAGAGACAAGTTGCTGTCCTTTTGGTCTTCAGTCTAGTTGTGGAGGACGTCGCTTCACTGGCCCATGTTGGTATTATCACTGTGCTCTTCCTGGGTGAGGCAGTCGCTCGCCGGCCATTGGACAGCTGCTCACGGCAGCTCATGCCAGCTGCCAGCCACTCACAGTAGCTCATCGTAGCCCACTGCAGCAGGGGTTGCAGCCTATGCCGTCTCCAGCAACTCACAGCAGCCCAGCTCCAGGTCGAGCTGTTGTTCACCATCTTAGCTGAGGGCAGAGCATCACTGGCCCTCATGTGGGATCCGAACCAGGGCCCTGCTGCTCAGAGCTGGCGTCCCAAGCCAACTCTTAACCAACACACCACTCAGCCGGCCCAGCTTTTAGATTTTAAATACTCCTTTTGCTTTGTATTCCTTGAGTAATCGTTTTCCTAGGATAATCAATCCTTTTATGCTCATTAGAGTTTATTAAGACAAACTGAGCTGAATAATTAGTTACATGCATTTTCATCAGTCATTGCTGTGAAAAGTTTCAAACATCCCAATTATTGTAAAGTCACTGTAATTCTTGATTCTTTTTAAAAATATAATTTCAAACTTCATCAAAAACTGGAAATCCATTATTTTTTTCATATTCTATTTGCTTTGACAGAAATTCTTTACTCGCTCTATCAATAAGGTCTCGAGAGAACAGATTGAATCCAGGAATAAAATAATGCTTAAGATCTTCTGTCCTGAGGCACTGAAGAAAGTATTCCACACACCGATCAAAGGAGACCTCTAGGTCCTTGGGTAGCCAATCATCATCACTTGGGGCCTGGGTACATGTGTGAAAGAAGGCAGTTTTCACATGATACGAACAGAATTTTTTCAGGTTCTTTCGCTTTTCAAACTTGTTTTTCAATTGTTCTAAAAGATATTTCATTAGTTTTAAACAATCTTTCCTGTTGAATAAAACACAAAACCATTTATTTTTACTTATTACAACCTGCTTCATTCCACAAAGAGCATTAAGCATGTTACAGGAAAAACATATAAAGATACAATAAACAATGAAGATATATGCCAGGGGAGCCAAAAAAATGTATACACATGACTCGTGTTCATCTTTTGTTATCGGTATATACTATTACAATTATAATATGGTTTTTTTCCTTTCTTAAAATGTATATACATTTTTTTGGCAGCCTCTGTATATATAATTATAGTCACTCTAAAACTTCATTATTTTTTTCAAATATATGCTTTCAATTTCAAAAACATATTTTTCTTCCCTCTTCCCCATTCCTAGCTTAAATATTTTATTCTATCAGGATTAATTCAACTATATGAAACTGGAAGATATTTGTATTATTCACCCAGTTACTTAGTATTTAGAAAAATCTTGTTTTAACTTTTATACAATGATTTTGCCTTATTAGGCTACAAATATTTACATTAGTCCAGATATTTCATAGAAAATTTTTCATGTTTTTAAAATTATTTAGCCTTATCAGCAATATAGTTCTCTTGATGCTGGTTTCAAAGCCTGTGAATGAAGCCTTGAAGAACCTCCATGTTATGTGTTCTTGTTTCGTATTCTCGTTATGTTATGTGCCTGCATGTTATATATTCTTGTTTTGACTTTAAACTTTTGAGACCCTTATACTGGACAACGTTAGAAACTGAGATTGAAAAGGAATTGTGCATTCAAGTTTAG